CCTCTGTTGCTTTTTACAGATTCAGACTAACACGGCTACCCCTCTGATACTTGATTCAAATCCTGTTTAGTTTGTAGAACTCAGGCTGTGAATTTATTTTATTTCTTAGGTAACCAACTTTGATCTGTACACCTGCTACTTATAATCACTTAAAAACCTCTATTTCTGTAGTTAAGATATCGGTTTTATATTTTACCTAAAACAGTGTCTTTTGGTTGAAGTGCTTGGGAAACCTCAGCTCAGTGTAGAAAGGCTAGTGTGTGCCCTCTCCACATCAAGGGAAGGGCAGACTGGGTAATGAACTTGCCCTGGTCAGAAGCCTGACCAGTGTAAGATGGTCCAGTTCTGGGGTGGAAAACTGGGGAGCTGTAGGGAATTTGCTGGAGCCTCTATTGTTGGCTCATGAGTGGCTGACAAAGCATTCATGTAACTCAATTTGGTGTGTCTCTGCCTGTGGATGTCTGTGTAAGTGCAGTACCTGCCAGAGGTTTGTGACTTAGCAACAGCACCACAGTGTGAGGGGGATACCCCAGGTTGGTGGGACAGAGGGCTCAGTGTTCACATTTCACCCCAGGAACCCCATCACAGAGGAACAGAGCTTTCTCATCCAGCACCGCTCCAGCCTTTCCCCTGCCTCAGTGAGGGGTTTGTAAACACCATAGGAGGGAGTCTTTCCACTGACTTCAGTGGGTTGCAGATTGCGCCTTGGACAACACAAAAGGTTTAGAAATAAGATTATACACAGGATGACAGATTTAATTGTGTTGAAATCCAACTCACACCTGTTGAATCTAGCATTCCATAAATTCTGTATGCCTCTAGACTAATTCTGATCTGGGACTCCACAATCTCATCTCAGCATCATCACTTTTTAGCCATTATTCCCCCAAAAATACTTTAGGTGAAATCTTGGCCCCATTGAAGTCAATGGTAAATTGATTTTCATTACAACATTGCGAACACTCAAATCAAACTAAACTCTTTCTGCTCCAATGCACATTAAAAAGGTCTGGGAAAGAAACTTTCCATTTTGCATGCATTAATTACATGGAGACACTTGGCAGATATGAAACTGTACAATACCTATTCTTGATAAAGTCCCCTTTAATAAAATAAAAAAAAAAAACAGCCAAAAAGGCATCCTGGTAATCTCCTCTGGCTTGCTGTCCCCATGTTGCAGTCAAACTCTGATCTTCACCTTCAGGCCTCAATACCTTCCAAATCCTGGTCTAGGTAACATGTTAACTGACTAATGTGGACAAGGCAATGTGCCTTTAACCCTTGTTCAAGTGGTCAAGTTAAAGCCATGAAGAGAGCCCTCCGGAGTTCACCTGCTGCCAGGGCTACAGAGTGCAATTCAAAGAATTCCAGGACAGCTGTGAAGTGCTATAGTTGTGTAACCTAGATAAGAAGGGGATGTGTAGTAAAAGCGTCAGGAGAAGATGGCACTGTTAGGAAAATGGTCACTGCAAGGGAAGGTGGAGGCTGTGTGAGGGGTATTGAAGGGAGGCGTGTAGGAGCTGTGGGAGGGATGGGTTGGAGGGCTGGGAGCAAGCGGAGCTGTGTGGCGGTGATGGTACAGCCACTGGCACTACCACCACCACCCCTTCCCCCTCTCCTTCTGTCTCACCTGCTTGCTCTTTCACCACTGCTGTACCAGGAATGGACTCACCACTGCTGTACCAGGGTTGAGTCACTGGATGCACTTGGGACGGACACTGCCTGCAGCACCATGGTTGGGCCCCACCCAGACTGGTACCACCAGAATGGGGCTTCACCTGCAAAGCTGGGCTGTGCACACAGGTGGCAGAGTGGTTCAGATTTGAGGCAGCTAAGTCCTCTCTAGTTCTAGCCACTCACTGCCTATGCTTAGAAGTAGCAGGGCCATGACTCAGGTGGCCCCACCCCAGCTCATGCCCCCTTTTATCATTTCTACCCTACCAACTTTCTCTATAATGTACCCTACATTCCACTCAACTACATGCCCCATATGTCCTCTCTCACTTTGATGCCACACTTTTCAATGCTGTGCTCTACACTTGGGCCCAGATTGAGCAAAGCACCTAAACATGTGCATTGCAACCTTTTCTGTCATCATATCCTTCCTAACAGGCAACCTATTCTGGTTAGTACTACAATAGTGTTCTACACTCCTTTGCCCTTGTGACAGAGTGCTGTTGGCAGCTGTAAAATAAGCCCTTTGAAAGCCAGCATCCTGGTCACTAAGATTACCCAGGGCACTGGAAGCAATTATTGTAGTTGGGATTTGGAAAGGTAGAAGGGAGCTCTTGCACCTGTAGGGTGCCTGATGAGCTAGTGAAGTAATTAGTTTGACAGCTGGGTAGCTCTGAGAAGAAAACAAGCAGCATGAAAGGCTGAGCTAGGGAGGAAGGGGGCTCCATGGAACTACTGTTACAATGTGATGTACCTGGAGCATAAGTAGTAACAAAGACACTTGGTGGACTGTGTGTGTTGCTTAATTTTCAGAGAGGGCCAGCCAGCCAGCCCTCCTAAGAGCTGAAGGGGGAACCCATTCACAGTCCCACATTACTAAAAAGCCTGTGTAGGATTTAAAACAACTCAAATCATTTTACCCTGCAGGACACAAACAAATTTTAAGCACTTTAACCTTCTCTTCAACTGCTCTCCTCTTCCCACCTCCTGTATGATGTGATATTTACTATGATGTATTTACACACACTATCATGGTATTATGTGTAAATTATAATGTAAGTGCTTCAGCTCAGGGCCCTTGCTTTATCCCCGTCTGTAAAGTACAATGCAGAATTACTGCCAATAGCTAAAGAATTAAATAAAAATAAATATTTCAAGAATAAACTCAGAAAGCAATTACTTCCTATCACATCAGTTTTAGACGTTGAATGACGCAGGTCCTAGACTGAATCTAGAATGCCTAGCAGAAGCACAACAAGGTTGGACCAGCTACACAATACAGCTTCTGTCTCGGTTTTCCCACCTGTTTGGGTGGCATCTCTTCTACCCATCACCCCTTGGGCCACACACTTCCCCACTCCCCTTTCCAAGAAGCTCTCTTTCCCTCTGCCCACTCAGCACCCCCATAAACCCACACCCAAACCCAAGATTTTCAAAAACAGGCAACTAAAGTTACACTATGATGAAATTGTCAAATTTGTTGGTCTCTACGGTGCCACAAGTACTCCTGTTCTTTTTGCAGATAGACTAAGACAGCTGCTACCCTGAAACCTAAATTAACTTAGGAGCCCAAGTCCCTTTTTCAAGAGACTTAGGCACCCCAGTGTCCAAAACTGAGACTTCGGTGCTGACATTTATTTTATGCCCGGAATTAGGCAAATGTTTTTTCAAAGTGCTGAGCACCCCTCAACAGGAGATACTGGTGCCTCTGGAGTTTGTTGGGGGGGGGGGGGGGGAGGAGAGAAGATCTGGCCTCTTAGTAAGGTGACTAGATAGCTAGGAACCTAATTTTAGTCTTTTTATTATTTAATCGTGGCCTGAACTCTGATCTGTCCCTCTGCACTTTCACTGCCACCTCCCTAAATAAAATAAAAAAAAAAATCAATTAATGGAGATATCCTTATCTCCTAGAACTGGAAGGGACCTTGAAAGGTCATCGAGACCAGCCCCCTGCCTTCACTAGCAGGGGACCAAGTACTGATTTTGCCCCCGATCCCTAAGTGGCCCCCTCAAGGATTGAGCTCACAACAGTGGGTTTAGCAGGGCAGTGCTCAAACCACTGAGCTATCCCTCCCCCCACCCCGCTCAGCCAGCAGCTCTGTGGGCGTTTAGCAGGGGGCTGTGACTTCAGCGGGGTTTCACTTTCCCAGTGCTCATGTGCGCTCAGCAGCATATGCCCACCAGGGCGCGTTACAGTTTGCACAGGAGCACGGCTGAAGTCGACCTTGCACCGACCGCATCCGAGCCCGAGCCTGTGCGCGGAGCGGGGATCCCAGCTGCCCGCGAGCTGGGAAGGTGCTGCGGCCCGTGACCGCGGGTGGCTCCTGCCTCTGGGAGGAAGGTCAGTGCGCGCGTCTGCCACGGAGCTAGTGCGGACGGAGCAGTGGCTGCTGCTCTCCGCGTCCCGCTGTCCGGCGCGACCTTACACACCGGCCTACGGCCTTAGACGCTTAGTGCTGCCGGAGCTCGCGCTGCTGTCGGGACACACACGGGCAGGAGGCGGAGAGTGAGCACTGCAGGAGCCCCTGTACGCAGCAGGGCCGGGGACGCTGGCGCCTGCGCTCTCCGAAACAGCCACTGAGCGAGCCTCCAGCCTGCCCCGCCACGGCCTGCCCGCGGGAGCCAAGTCTCCTGCCCGGTAAGGATCCCCTGCTTTGCGCCCCCATTTTTACAACCAGACGCCGGAGCACTGAAATCCATTGCAGGCAGTAGAGGGAAATATGAAGAGTTATCAGCTCCGTGCTGTTCAGTTTCAGAGAGAAAACATCTGCCTGCATTGTAGACTAGAAAATCAACTACAAGCTCAGAAATCTACCTAACATGTTTACACAGAGGTCATACAGTCAGTTACCTACTGGGTAATGCATTGCAGAGGTGGTGAGTGGAACTAGGATCACTCCAGATATTGATTAAATTTTAATCCAGAATGAAATTTGAACAGGTTATAGTAACTTCAGAACATGCATTTGATCGGACCATCACCGTCCAAATTCACCTACCTTTTGACTTACCCTATTACTGACAGACTTAGTACTACTTACACTTGCTTCTGCAGTTGCATGCAATTAGATAGTAACAAGTAACATTAATTTTACTTCTGAATTCTACCCTGCTTCCTTGGATACAGTGAGTTGTATTCTTTCCTGGTGCAATACTGAACAGTCAACAGATACAGTTGGACTAGTATTTCAAAAGTGATATTTTTGTCCTGGGGAAAAGATGAATTCTAGGTCCTGCAGGAAGAGTCTATTTCACTAGCCACATACATTTCTATTTGAAATATTTTCTAGAACATAGAGCAACTGATTCTGGTCTCACACTTGTGTAACCAGGAATAGCCTCACTGAAATCAGTACAAATGACACTATTGGAAAACTGGTGGAAGTGAGAGCAGAATTAGGGCCATGCTTTTGATATCAACTTTGCAGGTGGATTTTTTTCAGTGAATCAAAAGAAAGTCAATCATCCTAGCAGCTTTCAAAAAACAAAAATGTCAACCTGTTGATGGACTTACTTGCTGACACCCCCCCTCATGCCTGGAAATAGTATTGTATCTCTTTCCTTTCCAGAAGCTCTCTGCCAACAGTCATTCTGGTCCTGTGATGGTCTAGCAGCTCTACCTGTTCTTGTAGCTTGGCCCTCCAGCCAGTCCCCTTCCAGGATAACAGACAGTCCAGCATCCTTATATCTGATTCTTAGCTGCAGGTCTTAGCCCCATGGGCCTTACACCATGTTCTTCAGACTGTAAGTTATTCTTAACACCTTACATCAGAGGGCTTCACACCCCCTTCCCAGTAGCTGGTAGGCAAGCCCAGGTCCACTTACTATGCCAAGCTCCAGTTTAGAAGCCTTAGTATAAGTGCTATCTCCTCAGTCCCTTCATGGGCTCTTTGTAAAAATCAGCACACACACCAAGGCTTCTTCAGAGAGATCCAGGTTATACCCTCCCCACTCAGTGCTTCCTCTTTGCCTTATAGGGGCCTTCCTATGCCCCACAGACCTCTGTACTACTAAGAAGGTAACTATAGTATTTTTCTCTACAACCATCACCTACTCCAGACTGCCTCTTTTTATAGCATCACCCAACTGGGCCTCATCTTTTAATTACACCTGGGCCACCTCCAGGTGCAGCCTGGTGGGTTAATTGATCTACATTAATCCTTTCACCACCTCTGTGGCGTAGGCACCTCATCACACATTATTCCCAGGATGATTTTTGTAGTCTGATAGGGCAGCAGGAGTTTTTAATTGCATGGTGATGACAGGAAGTTTGAGAATTTTAAGGAATACTAAAATTCTTTCTTCCAGCATTGAGGACCACCACAGTGTCCTATCTCTTTGGTCTTGGTTCTGTTCTGTCTCTTGTAAGCCATAAACACAAACAATGCAAGAGATCTTGTGAGGCTCAGACTGGCACAATATTCCATTCCAGCTGGGGGACAGTAAGATGAGATAACATATTACCCAGTTTCTTCCCCTCTCTGACAGATTAGGACCCAGCAAGTTGTAAGACTGGGCCCATCCATAGTAATATTTTCCTTAAGTTCTAGATACAATTCAGTCTGCCTATGATTATGAAAAACAATGCCTGTTGCTACACTGGAGAGCTTTGGCATGCAGAAGCACAGAGGGTATACAGGAGGTTTTCTTCTACTGCAGCAGGAGACCCTGCAGTTTGAGAATGAAAGGATATTTTAATTGGGTTTTTCATATAAATACAAATAACAGTTAGAAATAATATTACAAACAGGAAGACATTCACTAAAGCGACATTGATTGCTATGTGTTAGTAATCTATAAAATATAAATACAACTATGTACACTGGATTGCTCCAAACTTAAAATACTTTTCATATTTTTTGCCCAGTAGGTGAATTTTTCTTTCACCATCCTTACTAATTGACTTTAGTTACTCTTGTTCTCTATGAACAGATAGGTATTTCCTAACCAGCAAAAATATTGAGGTTTTGGAATTTGTTTTCTTTCTGCATTGGAACAAAACTAAAACCTTTTGAAATTGTTCACAAAACATCTAGGGAGAGTAGGAGGGAGAGCTTCCTAATCACTGGGCTATTGGCTATTCTGAATGGGTGGGTGTCTCTTTCTCTCTCCCTCCCTGCCTCCCTCCAGCCTTTTACATCTGATGGAAATTGTTTACTGTAGTAAAGTCCTTTTGGAAGCAAACAAAAAATCAGTTTGAAACATTTTGAAATACATTCTTAATTATGCATTATTTAAACCACATCTCTGTCTCCTAGTCAGACAAGTGTTGTGACACATTGTGATGGCTTGCATAAGTTAGAGAACTTAAATGCTATACCTAATTCAACTAAAAAAACAAAGCTGGATTCTCATTAGAAAGAGCTGATGGTTGCTTCATATCTGTCACTCTTCTACACTCGTAATTTGTCTTTAAAATTCTATTTCACGTAGAGAAGAAAAAGCTTTACAGTTATTTTGGTTTTTGGGACCAGTGACATAAGCGAAGTATTCAGTTCATCTCGTTCCCTCATACACCTCCAAATTATCCTGATAAATGTGGCATGGCTATTTACACTAATCTTAAAATCCAAGGATTTGATCCAAATCTAACTGAAATCAATTGGAGTCTTTCTGGTGACATTATTGGGTGCTGGACTCGACCCCAGAGGAATAAATCCCAGAACAACTGGAATGTATATACTATAATTATTTAATGTAATAACCTGAAATGCTTTATAGATTCTTTTCTCCATTGTGTGGTATACTATCTTAGAAATATAGCATTTCATTCTCTAATGTGAAGTTTGTTTTTTGTCCATTTTCATTTGACAATTTTATTTTCCCCTTCCTCTCCTTGTCTTTTAAATAAACCCAATATAGAGCTGCTACTTACCGGTACTTCCTTTTTTCGGTGTGTGCATCAGAATTGTTGATGTTCCCCAAAAATGTATACAGCTCTCAAAACAGTGCTGGTTAACTACTACAGCAGAAACAAAAAGAGTGAGAGAGAGAGAGCACAAAACCACTATACATTGTTTTGTGAATGGGCTCCCCAAAATAAGAGCCATCTAAACATTCATTAAGAACATTTAAAAAAAGCTATTTTGAATCAATATGAAGGGAATTCATTTTAATTCAATTAAATTGTGAGCTTAACAATGTGATATTCCCGCACTTTAATTATCTTACTAAATGGCACAGTTAGATTGTATGTTGGAGAAGTTTTTTACTGATGGATATTTTTTATGTGTTTACAATCCAATGTCATGAACCATGTTGAAAAGTGATGTTTCCTTTTTCCTTCCTTTTTCTAGCCCGTTGTGTCCCGTTTAACTAGTGATCTGAATTGCTGCTTGTCTTATAGACATGAATTACTCTCATTTCATCACTGCAGTAAGTGCAGCAAGAAAGGCATCTCCAATAAGACTTCTGAGTGAGTACACACTGGCCACCCCTCACTGACAGCTCCTAAACCATATTGCCCTGTCTTCTGAACTCAGCCATGACACTGCAGATAAATACCGGAGCAGTCTTACAAGAAAACTGTGGGCAATTATAAGCTAATACATACATAGCTAACAAATATGCTGTTTGTCTTATTTGCTTTCAATGGATAAAGGCAGAGGTAGCTGAGATAGTTTGCCTTTGATCTATAAAATGAATATGCATTGTACCCAATGGAAACCACCCCACACAGAGAAAATAAATGGAAATAGTAACACTGTTTAATTCTTTTAAATTCATGCCAGAAAATATTTCTGCCAATGCCCCTGCTTCTGGAGTTGTGGCCGTTAAACTGTGATTTTTATTGCTGAATTTTTATTAGTTGTACAGGTCCAATTGACTATTAGGAAAGATGATACTGACCTTCAGGAGGACTTCCTCTTGGATTCAATAATTGACTATTATTGAATCCAAGAAGAAGTCCTCCTGAAAGTCAGTCTCATCTTTCCTCACACTTCTGATTGCCTTAGCCTGTCACTTGAAGAAAACTAAGGCTTAAGGCCAGAAGGGACCATCATGATCATCTAGTCTGATCTCCTGCATATTGCAGGCCAAACCCCCCCCCCCCCCCCCCCTCTAATCGGCCCATAACCTCTAGCTGAATTATTGAAGTCCTCAGATCACGATTTAAAGACTTCAAGTTACAAACAATCCACCGTTTACTCTAGTAAGTTACACTAGACCGTGCCAGCCATATTGATATGTTGAGTAGCTCCTGTACCCTATCAACTTCCTTGGCTGTTTCACTCCATTACTGCTTCTTACTTGCCCCACTCTGTGCAGCTGACTCTAGATGCATACTATACACCAGTGGTTCTCAACCAGGGGTATGCATACTCCTGCGGGTACACGGAGTATACTCATCTAGATATTTGCCTAGTTTTATAACAGGCTACATAAAAAGTGCTAGTGAAGTCAGTAGAGACTCGAGCATGCAGGGGTGTAATCAGAAAGGCCAAAACACAACTGGAGTTGCAGCTAGCAAGGGATATGAAGAGTAACAAGAAGGGTTTCTACAGGTATGTTAGCAACAAGAAAAAGGTCAGGGAAAGTGTGGGACCCTTAATGAATGGGGGAGGCAACCTAGTGACAGATGATGTGGAAAAAGCTGAAGTACTCAATGCTTTTTTTGCCTCTGTCTTCACAGACAAGGTCAGCTCCCACACTGCTGTCCTGGGCAACACAGTATGGGGAGGAGGTGAGCAGCCCTCAGGGGTGAAAGAACAGGTTAAGAACTATTTAGAAAATCTGGACATGCACAAGTCCATGGATCCAGATCTAATGCATCCAAGGGTGCTGAGGGAGTTGGCTGATGTGATTACAGAGCCATTGGCCATTATCTCTGAAAACTCGTGGTGATCAGGGGAGGTCCCAGACAATTGGAAAAAGGCAAATATAGTGCCCATCTTTAAAAAAGGGTAGAAGGAGAACCTGGGGAACTACAGACCAGTCAGCCTCACCTCAGTCCCTGGAAAAATCATGGAGCAGATTGTCAAAGAAACCATTTTGAAGCACTTGGAGGAGAGGAAGGTAATCAGGAACAGTCAACATGGATTTACCAAGGGCAAGTCATGCCTGACCAACCTTCTATGCCTTCTATGATGAGAGAGCTGGCTCTGTGGATATGGGGAAAGCAGTGGACGTGATATATCTTGACTTTAGCAAAGCTTCTGATATGATCTCCCACAGTATTCTTGCCAGCAAGTTAAAAAAGTATGGATTGGATGAATGGACTATAAGGTGGATAGAAAGCTGGCTAGATTGTTGGGCTCAATGGGTAACGATCAATGACTCGATGTCTAGTTGGCAGCTGGTATCAAGCAGAGTGCCCCAAGGGTCGGTCCTGGGGCCGGTTTTGTTCAACACCTTTATTAATGGTCTGGATGATGGGATGGATTGCACCCTCAGCAAATTCACAAATGACACTAAGCTGGGGGGAGAGGTAGATATGCTGGAGGGTAGGGATAGGGTCCAGAGTGACCTAGACAAATTGGAGGATTGGGCCAAAAGAAATCTGATGAGGTTCAACAAGGACAAGTGCAGAGTCCTGCACTTAGGACGGAAGAATCCCATGCACCACTACAGGCTAGGGACGGACTGGCTAAGCAGCAGTTCTGCAGAAAAGGATCTGGGGATTACAGTGGATGAGAAGCTGGATATGAGTCAGCAGCCTTCAAATACCTGAAGGGGGTTCCAAAGAGGATGGAGCTAGTCTGTTCTCAGTGGTGGCAGATGACAGAACAAGGAGCAATGGTCTCAAGTTGTAGTGGGGGAGGTCTAGGTTGGATACTAGGAAACACTATTTCACATGGAGGGTGGTGAAGCACTGGAATGGGTTACCTAGGGAGGTGCTGGAATCTCCATCCTTAGAGGTTTTTAACCCGGCTTGACAAAGGCCTGGCAGGGATGATTTAGTTGGGAATTGGTCCTGCTTTGAGCAGGGGATTGGACTAGATGACCTCCTGAGGTCTCTTCCAACCCTAATCTTCTATGATTCTATGATTAAAATTTCATACAGGCAAAATGAGAAAGTAAGCAATTTTTCAGTAATAATGTGCTGTGACACTTTTTTATTTTTATGTCTGATTTTGTAAGCAAGTAGTTTTTGAGTGAAGTGAAACTTGGGGGTACGCAAGACAAATCTGACTCCTGAAAGGGGTACAGTGTTCTGGAAAGGTTGAGAACCACTGCTACACACGCTACTGTTGATAGCTGATTGTTCCATATGGCAGGAAAAAGTGCTCCTGTACTGCCAGCTGAGGCCTACGTGGAGACAGTTGCAAAATAAGAGCCTAAAAACATACACCTCTTGTAACTGCTTTTAGACTACATCCCATCACCTCCTCACTGTGGTCAAATTCTTCCCTGGAGTGTAGGCTGGCAGTTGCCATTTCACTTCAGTGTGCGTTATGTGCATGACATCAGGTAAAATTTAGATCTTCTTTGTTTTTCTAGATCGGGGTGGCCAACCTGAGCCTGAAAAGGAGCCAGAATTTACCAATGTACATTGCCAAAGAGCCACAGTAATATGTCAGCAGCCCCCCATCAGCTCCCCCACCCCGCTCCCAGCGCCTCCCACCCAGCAGCAGCCCCGCCAATCAGCACTTCCCCCTCCCTCCCCACACCTCCTGATCAGCTGTTTCATGATGTGCAGGAGGCTCTGGGGAGAAGGAGCGAGGGCACTGCAGGCTGAGGGGAGGCTGTGGGGAGGAGTGGAGTGGGGGCAGGGCCTGTGGCAGAGCCAGGGGTTGAGCAGTGATCACCCCCGGCACATTGGAAAGTTGGTGCCTGTAGCCCCAGCCCAGGAGTCGGTACCTATACAAGGAGCCGCATATTAACTTCTGAAGAGCTGCATGTGGCTCTGGAGCCACAGGTTGGCCACCTCTGAACTAGATACTCTTTATTAACCTGCTTCAAGTGGTATTTTGGTAACTTCTGAATTTATAAACAGGAGCATTATGTGGTATGTCTTGTAAACCCTAAACAAACTAAACTAAATATGTTGCTTTCAAAAATAAGAGTTTTCAACATTTTCCCCCACAAAGTATAGCATTAAGATATTAGGTGTTAAAAGTTTAAAAACTAATTATAGTTACAGAAACAGCTTATTCTAATGATTAGGAAAGCAATCCAGACTGGAGTAAAAAAACTGTTTATAGATTGATTGATTGATTTTAAGAGGAGGTAACTTTCCCTGCAATTTTTCCAGTAAAAATTCGGGTTTTACATACCCCATTCTGCTGGATTACACTACTGAAAACTGGAGAATAAGCAGGATTGAGCTATCACAGATATCAAAAAATTAAAACCTGATTAATAGGAGGTGGAAGAAATTTTTACTCAGACTATTTAAAACATTTCATTTTACCCCTATGTAATTCAAACAGCTGGAAGGAAAGCTATCTGTTAAAGATTCACCATCCATGCCTGTTCAGTTAATGCCAAGAAAGCTCACAATGTATTTTTGAGTCAGCCAAGAAAATAAATGATAAATGTTGGCATGCCTGATCTCTAAAAAGACTTCATTATCCAACAAAGAGTACAAACAGGCACAAATCTGCATTAACTTTTCCTCTGCAGGTCCCCTTTAAATATTCTATAGGAAATGAAGGGACGGATGGGGGAAGGTGAAATGTTATATCTTGAATAGGCTAATGAGTAATGGAAGTTTTCTTCCTCATCTTTCACTGTAGCTGAATTGATGCAGAAGTCTCCCCCATCACTAATCTCCTTGGCTGGAGGGGCACCAAACCCCAACACTTTCCCATTTAAGATGGCCACTATTACCACTGGAGATGGAACTGCTGTGAATATTGGGGAGGATTTGATGAAGAGAGCCCTCCAGTACTCTGCCTCAGCAGGGTACTTATGAAGACACTTTATAAGAATAACAATAAATAACAGTTGCTGCTTTAATGGTTGATCTTTACAAACATGTTTTATTAATTGCTTATAATTTTCCCTGTCTGTATATGTGGAAAAAGTGACTAATTATTTGTGAGTGGAGGAATGAATTGACAAGTACCAATATTTATTGATTAACATCAAATAATATTTGAGAGGCCTGAGTCCAGGGTCAGTAACTGTGACAGTGTCCGGTGTATTGCAGCACAGTATTCAGCATATCAAAGTAAACAGCCTTGCAAAGCATTTTCTTTATATCCCCCCAAATCCTGGTTTATTTGGCTCCTGTTTATACCATTGAAAAAACACCACTTATTGTCTGCGGTAGTTAAATTAACTATGATATTTGCCACTGTTAGTACAGGAAATACTGCAGATATCACAGTAAACTCAAACATCACCATGCAGGAAACATGGCTTGTTTTAGTGGCATCCACTGTAGGGGTGTTAAAATAACAGTATTGGTTCATTATTTATGTAATATGAGGACTACTCTGAAATGACAGTGTTCTATTAACGTTGCCTCCTGGATAAAGTGTTAAACATAAAGCTAGTACTTGTGAGACAATTGTCTTGCTGAAAAGGGACTAGTTGGGATACTAACAGTTATGGGTACATCATAATAAGAAATTTTATACCTGGCTTAAAAATATTGTTTAACTGTTTTTTCTGTCATGAGATTGTTTTGCTCTAGAAACACTAGATTTTTTTATTTTTCCTAACACTGAAGTCCTTCTTCAGAGCAGAATGAAAACTCATGTACGGTCCTTTATATTGGGGTCCCTGGGATGTCACTTTGCTAAAATGGTGTCTACCATCACAAGATTTGCAAGTGCCTCTTCAAAACACTGCTGTACTGAGCAGGAAAGCAGCTGTTTTATAGAAACTTGAAATCCATTCACTGTTTTGATTTATTTTCAGATGCCAGCCACTTTTTTTCCACTTGTGTTGTTTCCCCCTGCCCCCCAATTTCGTATTGGTGTAACAGCCCAGATTGAATGCAGTAAGGAGTTAGTGCCACATTTTTAAAGGTATTTAGGTGCTGTAAGATGCATAGAGGTGCCTGGCGGGATTTTCAAAAGTACCTAGGTGTGCGCCTGGGAGTTAGGCACCTAGGTGCTTTTAAAAATCCCACTGGGCACCTATCTGCATCTTCAGGCACCTAAATGCCTTTAAAAATCTGGCCCTTAGTCTGCATAAAGTGTGTTCCAAGTGGAGTTGGGCAAAGATTTTTAAACAAAACTCCCCCCCACCCCAAAGGGTTAACTAAAACATCGTATGAATTTGTTTAATTGTTTCAGTCAAAAACAAAAAATTCTGAAAAAAATCAAAATGTTTCACTGACATTTTTTAAATGAAATGTTTTGATTTGAAACAACTTTTTGTTTCAAATGTTGCTTCAGTTTTAGTTTTAAAGGTTTAAAAAAACTCAAACAAAATGAAAATTTGTTTGAGCCAAAACAAATTTTTTTCAACTTTTTGGTTCAGCCAGCAAACTAAAACAAAAAAAGTCATTTATTCACGCACCTCTAGCTACAGACAGAGGCCATACAAGTCACACCTGCCATACCTGGATCTGAAAGGATCACCTCAGTGCATGAGACAGAAATTCAGCCTCCGTGCCCATTCAGTCCTTTGTTGACAATCTCTCTGCAGAGGCTGTCAACTGTTTATTGTATTATAGACACTGGTCCCTAAGGGCTTTTTATCTTAAATACACAGACACACACACACAGTATTATGTTTCTCTCATTTCATTATCTGAGAGAAAATATTTTAAACCAGTGCCTATACCTATCTGTATTGCTAAATAACAGAGAAAGAGAAACAGACAATTTGGGTAGCAATGTACGCTAGATTTGAAGGGGATTTAAAGGAGCAGAACATAGGGCGACCAGACAGCAAATGTGAAAAATCGGGATGGGGTGGGGGATAATAGGAGCCTATATAAGAAAAAGACCCCAAAATCGGGACATCTGGTCACCCTAGCAGTACAGAATATCAGGATAATAACGATGAGAAATAAAACCTGTGTTTCAGAATTCCTGAGTTGTTGTCCTGGCTAAAGGATTTACAGAAGAGTCTCCACAATCCTCCCACTGCCAACTACAGTCCTGATCAGGGCCAAATGGAGATATGTGTCACCACCGGCAGCCAGGAAGGTTTATCCAAAGTAAGACTAAAAGCGGAATACATTGTGGCTTCTGTAAAATGTAATTACTTGTTGCTTCAAATAGATGTTTGCTTTCAATCACTTGAATTTTATTTCCTTGTATAGGAAAGGCATGCCTACTCTATGATTACAGTTGTTAAGGGTGGCTTGTTAATGAAATGATATATTAAATACCATATCTGAGAAAGTAAATGGAAGTTGGGACAAAACTTTGTCAGACTCTAATGGTCTTCCATGGCTACACAAATGTCTAGGATCTTTATTATGAAAGAAAGAGAGAATATCATAAGACATTTTATTCCATTTACTTTCATAATTCTATAGCAAATGATTTTAAGAATCCTGTAGTGGAATGTAGTGGTGCAATCGAATTAGAGTTGGTTGCTGTACTGTAGTTTTTATTGCAATAAGATATTTTTGTAAGAAGATATTGTTCTGAGTAAGTTGGTTTTCAATTGGGTGATCTTCTCTCTCTCTTTCTCACACACACACACAGTTGACCCTTTCTATAATTGAAAAACTTTTGTATTGTGATAGAATATTGTTAAATGTCGGTATTTTTTTTTCCAGAAGACAGAGTTGTCCTGTTTGAAACTGGCATTCTTCTCCTCTGACTTGTATCTCTCTGTTTGGCTTCCAAAGTGGAACTTAAATCCATTCACTGTTTACCTAGAAGAGTTTACATTGAATTAAATGGTGATGGAAACACTAATATGTAATTAGGATGTGTAGTTCCATTAGAGCTGGCAGCAGTATGCAGAATGTCCAGTAAAATCATACAGTCTTGTAAAGTAAATGCTTCCCATTTTGTAGGTGTTTGAGATGCTTATTAACCCTGGAGACAACATCCTTTTGGACACACCCACCTATCCTGGGACTCTAGCAGCTGTGAGTAGTGTTTCAGTATGAAAAGTTGTGAAAGTTACAATGATCATCACCTTGGGACACAAATCTACATTAAGACATATGGGCTGCCTCACTATTGTAAATGCATCTAAGACCTCATCCAGACTAGAGTTTTTGAGCCTGTTCTGACTTAAATTGGTTGGCATTGATGAACTAATACAATTGTAAATGCAAATGTTTGTCCCAGGACACAATGTTTTGTTCTGGAGCCCAGTTCACCCTAATCCTAGGTTTCTATAGAGAATCACAGTAGAGATGAGATGAGATCTTTCTGATAAAGTCAGTCTAAATGCAAGTGCATGATCAGTGAGATTCCTCCTATTTTAGATTCATGGTGCGTCTCTTTCTTAATGATTTAATGATCTGATTTAGTATTCTGTGCCTATAGTAGGATAAAATGGGGATGGGCCTGGAACATGTATGTAGGTGAGGTCCCAGGATATGAGAGCAAGTCAGAGAGGTAACTCTTAAATGACACTAGTTTTTGTGGATCAATATGCACCCTGTGCAATTAAATACAGCCCTTTAATGCTTAATAGTTACAGATTGGGAGAAATGCTGGAATAAATCCTATACCACTCAATATTTCACTTGACATCTGGGTAATATTGTTTCATATACTATATTTTTGACATACCTTTTGATTATGCAATGGGCCCATATATTGAGGGTATTGTCGTTTCAGCAGCAATTCGTTTATAACCTAATAAATACAGGGTTAAATAGTACAAAAATAGAAATTCCACAGAAATAAAACTACAGGGACTTTTGTTAATTTTTGCTATAACTTCACACATCGCTATTGTCCCATGTCACTCATTAACATTACTGAAATCTCAGTCCCATTGCTGAACATAATACCCGTTCAGAGCAGTTATTCTTCCTCCCTTTGTCAGGGCAGAGCAGGTTATAGTTCTGTCAGTTCAACTGAAACTGCATTTCTAATTATTGCACTGTTGAGAGACCTGAAGCTTATCTGTATTTTTGCATTGGAGTGTTGAAATGTGAGGGATCCCACTGCAGTAGAATCCACAACGAACTCCTGGGCTCCTCAGATGCGATGCCATGTGCCTGATAGGCAGGCATGTAGTAATAGTTTATCTTGGACCAACCAAGACTTATCAGAGTCTATATAACTGGTTTTAAATATTGGGAGCACAAGGTGATCTAGTTAAATTACATTCTGAGGGTTATACAATGTGTTCAGAGAAACTTTCCCTTGAATCATGAGCTAAGCAAGTTTGAAATCAATGCAACTCGTTTATAACTATCTAGTTCAATCTAGATTTAAGGGCAGATACTGCATTGCTGAAGTTCTGTAACATCAGAGACATAATCATAATTTCAGAATTACAGACTCAGTGACTGAGATTTGTCTCCTATTTTGTTTGTTCCCCTCCCCCCAGCTAAGACCTTTGGGCTGCAACATAATCAATGTTCCCAGTGACCAATACGGTATTATTCCAAAAGCCCTGAAAGAAATTCTTTCCAGATGGAGCCCAGAAGATGTCAGAAAGCACAACAACAGTCCCAAATTCCTGTACACCATTCCAAATGGTGGCAATCCCACTGGAACCTCATTGACTACTGACCGCAAAAAGGAGATATATCAGGTATGCAGTGAGAGCCTGGCATCACAGCTTTCATGTAGGGAATAGACAAATGTGGGGTTTTCAGTTTGAGGAATTCCACTGCAAAACCAGCACATCTTATAAGCAACTGAATAGCAAATGTTGCTAAAAATCTCATGCCCCATTACTATATCAACCTCTTGTGTGCCCTGCCACTTCTCCCAGGTCTTCCCTTATTGGTTTTCCTGCATGATTGGGGTGATCTAGTGAGTATAGTGTAGTAAATTATAGTCCTTTGTAGCCATACCAACCATTGTGCTGACTTATATGTTGTGTTTACTCACTGGGCCCTGGTACAAGCCTAAAGAGGTGTTCGACAAGGATAAAAACCAATTCTATCTAATGAGATAGAAGTTGGAGCAACCCTTAGAACTGCAAGGGACACAGGAGGCAGATGTGCTCATTGACAACACAATGAAGGTAGCTGTCAGGATCACATGCCCATAGAGATGCAGGGTAGTTTTTACTACTCCCTATTTTGGAAGTGCGATTCTCTATAACAAGAAAAGAAAATGTATATGCACTTGCACTCAGTGCATTTTTTTTTTTAAACTTTTTTTTTTTTTTTTTTTTTAAAGAAAATTACATAGAAATCAGTTAAGCTAACATTCTAAGTAACCACCTGGCTAGAGAAAATATTCAAAGTGCCATGCTTTAAAAGCATGAGATCTAAGGTCCATGCATACAAATGTGTCCAAAATTGCCATTCAAACTGGTAGGTGAGAAACACATAATTTTTCTGCATGCAGCGGTCCAAACCGTGCTCACAAATATAGGCACATTATTGCACATGGAACCCGGGCTTCAGTTTTTCAAAATTTGGCCCAATTAGAGCTGCTATTTTTACCAGTTCACATACTTTTGCAGTTACATGAGTTGTTAAATTTAGCATTTGAAGGCGACTCTTGACGTGATGTTTGTGTGCTGAATCAGCAGAATACAGAGCAGCTTACAGGGCAATGAATATAAATAACTGGGATTACATAGGGACTGTTTTTATTACATTTCAATAAACCTTTACATTTTGGGGTTTAATTTCTTTTTTAGCTTGCAAGACAGTATAATTTCCTTGTAATAGAAGATGATCCTTATTATTTTCTTCAGTTTGATAAGGTAAGTTGTCATTTGTACTGATTGGTATCAATATTTCTTTGGGTTCAGAAAAGAATTAATACTTGGACAACTGTGGCTCAAACTACATGCTACTCGTATTTAGTAGATTGTCAGATTAAATTAAGGCATTACTAGTAAACACTCAGTCATGACATTTTTAATTACATGCTTCTTCAGCCATCATGTTGCATCAGTCCTTGTCAATTACAGTGCGTCAAATTCTTCAGTTTTTAAGTGAGGAAAATTCCCATTGACTCCATTGGGGCTGTACTAGCAGATATGCCTCCGAGCCAAGGCTGCCTCAGGCACATACAGATATACCCCTTAAAAGGGCATTCCATTGTAGAGGGAATGGGATGCAAGGCATGGGAGAAGTCATACAGGCTGTATTGCCTTTTCTTTCTAATCTCTGCCTTCATCCAATGCAGCCCACCCTGCCTCCATCCCTTCTCCTTGTGCAGATCTCAACCCTTGGAGATTGGTCACAGGAATAGGGAGAATAGTGCCTCAAAGGCAACTGCCACCCTCCCTGACACACAGTGGGAGGGGGTGGGTGCTCAGATCCACACTTGCAGGGTCTCCTCCATACATGGATCTGGGTGGGGGCGGTGACCTGGCCCTCACTTAAGTACATAACTTCAGGATTAAGATCAGCTTTTACGGAGAGTAACACCCCTCCCTTAGCAGCTAATGGCTGCTGAGTAGGTCGATGGAATGAGTACAGTTTAATATTTTTCTTTCTGTAACAAGGTTCTCCCCTTCCTTTTGGGGGTGAGGAGGAGTCTGGTTTGCTTGGGCTAGCAGAACTGAATGCCTGCGTGGAACTCTTATAAGCATGTGGGCATGCAGAAATTGTCAATATAGTAGCCGAACTTCTGCTCTGGGAATTAGAATCTGTGCTGAACTCAGGAGGGTGATCTTACCAAATCCCCAATTCTGAGGGATGTCCTCCAGTTTCTCCTAAAGGGAAACTGCAAGCTGAGGAGCACCTCTTAGGGAAAACATTAAAGAACATATTCCCCTCCACTCAGTAAAAGTATTTTGACAGAGAGCTGGGTATTTGGCTCTGACCTCCTATCATAGTTCCAGGTAGAAACTCCAGCACCTAGCATTTGTGCGGGGTTAGAGGTAAAGGAATTTCTGATTGACTCTTTCCTGACATTCAGGTGACCCTATCATCACACCACAATAGGGTGCTACTCTAAACAGTCATTTGTCAGGCAGGTACTGGACTTTGATACTAGTTGTGCATCTCCAAAACCAGGATTTTGTCATATGATACATCACCCCTTGAGTCAAGAAATACTGAAGTCTGTGTTAGTAATAAGTAAAGCCTTGGTGTAAGCCTTATTAGCTACTTGAATTTTAAACTCTCATTCTTTTCTTTCAAGCCTTGGGCTCCAACCTTCCTCTCAATGGATGTTGATGGTCGAGTTATCAGGACTGACTCTTTCTCTAAAATTCTCTCCTCTGGGTAAGGTCTGTTTCAGACTGTCGCCTGCTGGTTAGCACAGGCTGCAGAGTCAAGAGACATGGGATTCTAGTCCTGAGTTTGCACCTTCACTTTGTGAAGGTAGGCAAGTCACTCAGCCTCCCTGTGCCTTGGTTTTCCCATCTGTAATATGCGAATAGTGACCTACCCGCTGTTGCAAAGTGCACTGAGATCTTCAACTGTTCACGACCTGCTCATCTCCCGTTCCCTCCATGTCCTGGCAGTCACCTATTAATCATGTTTATTACAGTAGGGCCTAGGGCCCAACCAAGAGTAGAGCCCTGCTCTGCTAGGCACTGTGCAAACACAGAGTAATACATGGTCACTGGAGCCCACTCCCCTTCTGACAGCCTCTGAAGCCACTGTCTCCTATGACAGCCTGTCCTTACACACAACCTGTCCTCAGTTTTCCCTAAACTAGAGGACCATGATGGAGGCGTTAGACTCCTCCTCTCTGGTTCTTGATGTTCTCGCCTCCCTTGGCTTTCATAACACTGGCTTCTCTCCCTACCTCTGACCATTCCTTCAGAACTTTTTTGGCATGTTGTCGTCCTCTCTCCTACAGTCCACGAGAAATAACAGGGCTCTTTCCCTGGGCATCTTCTCTTCTAGCTTTACACCTTTCCTTCAACCACCATCTTTTGCTGAGGACTTGCAAGTCTGTTCTCCACTCCTCACAACTCCTTGCATTCAGTCCTAATTTTCTGGCTGTAGTGTACATTACTTTTAATGAATCTTAGCAAGCTACATGAATCCTCGCCTCGCAGTTAGTGAGTTGTGAGCTCTCCCTGAGACTCTAATGAAATAAAGAAAGAAGGTAATATGATGGAAATATGGTTGCACTTTGAAAAGTGACCCTACAAAAAATGATGTCATGTAGTTCCATCTTTGTCATTCAAAGACATGTTTAAACTTACTCCATTTATTTTCCTCTAACTGCAAACTCAACCTGGAATCAGAGTCAAGCAAGGATTTGTTTGAATCTGACAATATGAATAAAGCTTCTTTTAGTTCATGAACACAAAAACAATCCTGTTCATTCTCTTTACTAGCAGTGCTAAATGGAAGTAAATATAGTAAACACTGTGTTGCCAACTTCACACTATTTGGTGTTTGATAGACTCGCTCTTGTAAACTTGTGGTGATGTGAGAATCTCAGCTTGCTTTTTTTCCCTAGCCATTATGATTGCAGAGAAAAGTTTAAAAATATGACCCACGTATGCCCTAAAAGCTCAGAAACTACAAGGCAAATTGAAATAACCAAAGAACATTTTTAAAAAATCATCTCATGATTATTAAGCCAGCCTCTTCCCTTTTAACTCGAATTAGCAGATGTGACTCTGAATACACACAGGGAGCAGATCCATTAAGGTTCCAATTTTCCATAGTTGCTGTTTGGACGATAGCCATATTTTGGCTCAAATTCTCTGCTGATATAATTTCAAGGATTAGTGGACTGTATATGTAGTAATGTTCTTCTTCTTTTCCCCTAGGTTGAGAATAGGCTTTTTAACTGGCCCCAAACCACTTATTGACAGAGTTATTCTGCATATACAAGTCTCAACAATGCACACCAGCACTTTCACACAGGCAAGTGCCATCTCCGAGAATTGGGAAGGTGTTACCTGAATTGTATTTATAAAAATAAAATGGTTTCTCAAACATAGTAACTGGGAGGAGGGGCAAAAAATCTTTTATAATCCTTAGCCATTTTTTCAGCATGGCTTTCAGGAAAATTTATATTACAAATTCTTCCAAGGGAAGAAAGAACAACGCAGAGAGGAAGACCAAGGTTTGTCTGGAGGGTGTTCTAATAGATGTGAAAAACATTGCTCCAAAGTATAGGCCTCTCTTTACTTTTATGTAATAGGTTATTAAGGCTTAACGGAGCTAGGGATCAATGGGAGTTGTGTGCTCTATGGCCTTAGGCTCCTTTGAAAATCCCACCCTGAAGAGCTGCAGAATAAATGGAGAAGATTTGGAATTTTTATTTGGTGCAGTGCTTGTAAGTCAGTGTGGCGAACTGGTGAACGCTGCTGGTGCTGTATAAGTAGCATGCTATCTATTGCCCCTTCCCTTCCAGACAGTGCTCAAAGGGTGTGTTAGGGTAGAATGAAATATATCCTCCCCTCTCCCCCTGCCTACTAGGTCATCATTGACCCATTCCTGAGCCCTGCCCTCCCCTCTATCACAGTCAGCTCTAAGGTTCTGCCCAGAGCTTAAATTAGACTTTGCACTCCCAACCCTCTTTTCAGCTCCCCAATTTCACCATGGAGATAGAATAAAAGTGGGGAGACTAATAAAGGAAATAAACATGTATTAAATTCAAAGCTGTATATGTTTCCCTCCCTTTCCTTTCCAAATTCCCACATTTGTCTTCCCCTATCCGTTCCTCTTTCCTTCAGACTCCCTAATATTTCCATTTCCTCATGGGACTGCTATAGCTCCGGCTTCCTAATGGCCCTTTGCCGGTTTCCTGGTGGACTTTTTGTATTACCAAGGGGTTTGAAGGTAAAGGAAGAGATGGCTCCAGGAGTCCAAGGATGTAACCTCTGCCCTTGCAGGATGTTTAATATTATATTAATATCATTTTTAAAAGCTTTTGTTTGGTGGCTGACTATCCTGTTTAAAGAATGGGATTTACTGTGTGGGTTTTATTTTTGTAGCTTATGATTGCACAGCTTCTTCAGCAGTGGGGAGAAAAGGGTTTCCTGGAGCACGTAGACAGGTAGTGCCCTTATATTCAATATACCATATTGTGGGGGTTTGGTTCTCTTTTAATTACTGTCATGTCTCTAAGTATAATGTTTAAAGGGAGTGTCACGCTGTCTGGAGTGACTCACGACCGTTAGTGCCTGCCTTAGGTCAGACTGTCAAAAACAGGACAGACACCCCAAACTAGTGATATGTTCTATAATTAGATTTCACCAACCCAGTAACAAATGTGAACTCCCGGATCACTATAACATGGAGTCACAGACAGTCCCTTTGGGCTCTCCAGTCTATCTTGCCACCCAGACAAGCTGGACGTAGTGTTAAATGGTCACGGACTCCAGGGCCGGCTCCAGGAACCAGCTTAACAAGCAGGTGCTTGGGGTGGCCAAGGGAGAGGGGCGGCACCTGCAGCAATTCAGGGGCAGCAGGTCCCTCACTCTCTCTAGGAGCGAAGGACCTGCCGCTGAACTGCCGCCACCGATCGCGGCTTTTTTTTTTTTTTTTTTCGCTTGGGGCGACAGAAATGCTGGAGCCGGCCCTGACTGACACACAAACACACAAAATATTCAGGTTGCTCCCAGTCTCAAGAGACCAGTCACTTACCTCAGGTCAATTTGTATCTTAGATCTCACACCAAAAACAATGCTTATAGCTAAGGTTACGGTTTTATCATGGACAGGTCAGGGCAATAAACAAAAATTCACAGAAACCGTGATCTGTCCCTGACTTTTACTAAAAACATCCCTGACAAAATAAGGTTCCAGCACCTGGCTGGGAGCTGCGGCCCCCTGCGCAGTGGCTGGGAGCTGGGGGAGATCCCCAGTCGCCCTGTAGGGCTGGGAGCTGGGGTGGGAGGGCGCTGCCCACGGTAGCTGAGCAGCTGCCGGGGTCCCTTCGCCGCCAGCTGGGGAGCTCCAGGGTCCCCCCGCTGCCCTGCAGGGCTGGGAGCTGGGGGGACCCCACCACCTGCATGGCTGAGAGCTGCCGGAGTCCCTCCACTGCCCGCGGCAGTTGGGGGGCAGCGCCGGTGGTGGCTGGTCAGTTGTGGGGGTCCCCTGCCACACGTGGCAGCTGGGCTGCTGCTGGAGGGTCCACCGCTACCACCGCCGGTGGCTGGGCTGCAGTGGTGCCCCAATGTCACAGAGGTCTCCAGAAGTCACAGATTCTGTGATTTCCGTGACCGCCGTGGCATAATCATAGCCTTACCTATAGCCAATCCTGAATAAACTAACTAAAGGTTTATTAACTAGGAAAAAGAAATAAGAGTTATTTACAGGTTAAAGCAAGCAAACATATGCACAAATGAGTTGCCCTCTATGGTTCCTAAAGATGACAGAGATGTACTAATCTGTCCATTCAAAATGTCTTTCAGGGCGGACCCAAAGGTAGCCCCTAGGGATCTCTGCCTGAGTTTGGTGTCCCTGGCCCTGTGTGTTCAAACAGTAAAGAGATGAACAATTTTCTTGTGACCATCTTTTATCTTTTACACTTAGCCTTCCAGCCCATGAGTAACTGCCTTGCATGTAGCAGTTCCAAGGTGTGATAGAGCCATCCACCAATCCTTTGTATTGTGATGTTCCTTAATGCCTGGTTTAATCTTGACAGGCCTCCTGAATGGGTATGGGGGGATGATTCCTGTGCCTGGGTTCACAAGTTCAGAGCAAACATTTTCAAAGTTATAAAGCCAAACTTACTTATTTCCTTATAGCATGGGATACGGACATTACAACTGATATTAATGCATGCAGCTACTTACAGGCATTTCATAGAGTCTAAACGCTAAATACATTCTTATAAGACTAATACTTATTTTGAACAAAACTAGCAAACAGATGAGCTGGTTTGGTTTTCAGCTATGACTTTGTCAGTGCTCAGCTGACACCTACAAACTTGGCAAGACCTGGCACCTGGTTTACCAGCATCACAGGGAACTGGAACAATGTTAGGATCTGTTACCTGAAGGTCCCACAGCACTGGGCAGCATAACATAATCTGCACAGTTTTGTAATAGACATATGGCAGTTGTATAAAGTTATTTGTACCTAACCATTTGTGGATTTAGCTCAGATGGGATCTTTCTCTATATCTATCTATAAAAAAATTTGAATTGTTTGTCTCCAGGGTAGTGGAGTTCTACAGGGCCCAGCGAGATGCAATGCTTGCTGCAGCAGACAAGTGGTTAAAAGGTTAGTGAATGCAAACACAGCTTATATTTTCAAGCTGTTTTTCTCTGACTCCTGTTAATCAACTCCATTTTCAAGAACAATCACTAAGGTATATTTGCAGAATTAAGTGATAAATAGGCAACATGGACAATTCAAAGGTGTTCTGGGTGTTTTTTTCCCCTTTTGTTTGAACTTTGAATATCCAAACCTAAGATTATCTGATGCTCCTATTTTCTAAACTATTTGAAATGAGGGAGTGCTCAGAGGAAAGCCTCCCCATGCTGCTGTGTCAGGCAGCCATGCAAACAACATTTATTTCAGTGCAGTACGTTCAGTACTTTTTTCTTTACAGTACCTCTTTCTACGTATAAAGCTGTACCTTAATGACAAACATTTTAAAAGAATTGCACAAATAGTGCATGATGAGCTGTCAGGGTTGTAACAGATTGTGATAGTTAATCACAGTGCAAAGGAGTAACATGATTCTCATAGACTTTAAGGTCAGAAGGGTGATCATCTAGTCTGACCTCCTGCACATTGCAGGCCACAGAACCTCACCCATACACTCCTCAAATAGACCCATGACCGAGTTACTGAAGTCCTCAAATCATGGCTTAAAGACTTCAAGTTACAGAGAATCCACCATTTACTCTAGTTTAAACCTGCAAGTGACCTGTGCCCCAGGCTGCGGAGGAAGGCAAAAAAAAAACCCAGGGTCTCTGCCAATCTGACCTGGGGGAAAATTCCTTCACGACCCCAAATATGGCGATCAGTTAGACCCTGAGCATGTGGGAAAGACCCACCAGGCAGATATCAGGGAAAGAATTATCTGTAGTAACTCAGAGCTCTCCCCATCTAGTGTCCCATCTTCAGCAGTTGGGGATTTTTGCTACTTGCAGTCGCCAATGGACCACATGCCATCATAGGCAGTCCCATCATACCATCCCCTCCATCAGCTTATCAAGCTCAGTCTTGAAGCCAGTTAGGTTTTTTGCCCCCACTGCTCCCCTTGGACGGCTGCTCCAGAACTTCACTCCTCTGATGGTTAGAAACTTTTGTCTATTTTCAAGCCTAACTTTGTTGATGGTCAGTTTATAGCCATTTGTTCTTGTGTCCACATTGGCACTGAACTTAACTCCTATCCCTCCCTAGTATTTATCTCTCTGATGTATTTATAGAGAGATACAATAACACAGTCAATATCAGTACCTGAGTCCTGATTTTCAGAGCCTAGCATGGCATGGCAATAGCTATCTAAGAGATTGCCTTTCCCTTCACAACTAAGATCTCCAGCAGCAGCTGTGTTCCACTGAAACCATGAACCTGTCAGCCGGTAGGGACTTGTGAGAGCAGGAGCTGAAACTGTCACAGGAGCTGGATCTAACCCATCTATCTGTGGTATTTATATGGCCCCTATTTTTATAGTATCTGAGAGCTTCACCATCTTTACCCTTATAGTTCCCCTGTGAGGTAAGGAAGCATTATTATCCCCCTTTTACAGGATGGGGAACTGAGGCCCAGAGAGACTTTGGGAGAGTCTACACTGCAAAAAACAAATAAATAAATAAAACGGTTCTTAACTTGACTTAAAATACCCATGAAAACACAGCAATTGGGCTTTTAGCTCAGATTAACAGCTCGAGCTAAAGCCTATAGGGAAGCCTGGGATTGAACTCAAACTGCTAACCTGAGTTAAAAGCCAAGTTGATGTGTCTTCCTTGCTGCTTTTAGCCAAGTTAAGAATACATCTTTTACGCAGTGTAGACATAACCTAGGTGACTTGCCCAAGAGAACACAGGAAGCCTGTTTTAGGCCATGTCTACATTACCACTTATGTTGGCAAAATTTATGTCACTCAGGGGTCTGAAAAAACACACCCCCTTGAGCAACATATATTTTGCCGGCATAAGTGGCAGTGTGCACAGCACTACGTCAGCGGGAGAGCTTCTTCCGCCAACATAGCCACCACTGCTCCCGTCGGCATAGAGCAGCTACATGAGAGATCTTACTGCAACGCAGCTGCATCGGTACAGCCACTGTAAGGTCTCTAGTGTAGACATAACTTTAGATCTGGAAACTGAACCCGGGTCTCCCAGCCACGTCCCAAGCTAGCATCCTGAGCACTGGAACATCCCTCTTCTCTGCCCATGGAACTCACTCCCTCAAGAGCGAAGAGTGACCATGGGCCTCACTGCACTCAGAACCAGATGCAAACCCCTTTTATTTGACCAACTCTTCTCACAGTTTAGTCATAGAGGGAAGTGAGGGTGAGAGAAAAGGAGAAAACAAAACAAAAATACCTTTTGCAATTCTGCTACCTTTCAAGCTGCTACAGTACGTGGAGAGGAAAGAGAATTTTGTTAGTTTTCGTTGTTAATTTTGGGAGCGGCTCAGATACATGGTGGTGAGGGCCATAAGAGTATCTTCACCTTCACCTATCCAGCCAAACTAAAGAATTAAAATAAATCTGGTAAAGCCATTTTGCAGAAAAGGCTAAAGTCATGAAAATCTTCCTTGTGCTGAAGTAACTGGCTTCTTACTTTATGAAGATTCACATAACTAGCAAGTTGAGGCTTTGGAGTATTCTGTGAGAGGTCTTTATTCTATAGAGTAGTTTATAATTAAGCTGCTGGTAATGATCAAATGTACCTAATAGGAATAGGGGCAGATGGCAAGTGAAACAAACAACCCAGTATATTCATACAATGTACACATGTAATAAAGCTGGAGCCAAAAAAATCAGGAGTGTTTGGATTATTGTCCTGCCAAAAAACTATCAAAGATTGCCTCGAGGTACAAGGGAATGTGTACAGTAAAACTGCCGACTAAAGCAGTAAGATTCCTTTCTGTGTTCTTCCCTTCTTTTATGTGGAAAAACATAACATTTTAACTAAAAATGAAAAAAATATTCTCTTTCTAACCATGTCTACATTATGCAGCACATTAAGATTGCATTTATGGTAATTATGGTACTAAAGGAGCTGGCATTTAAAAAGGATGTTTTGATTACATGTGTTTAGTTGTTTTTTCAGAAATCAGCCTACCATTGTACCTTCAGTGCACCTGTTGGGCAGTCTGTAATCCAACTGAGAGAGAATCCAGAGCATCCATTTTCAAAAATACCATAAAACAAAGTAGTGTCAGCATTACTGAATTACATCTGTATTAATTTTGTCAGGGGGGACCTTAAATTCTGCAGGTAAAATCTTGGCTCCATTGACGTCAATGGCAAAAGTCCCACTGACTTCATTGGTGGCAGGATTTCACCCTATCTTTGTGTGTTTGGTGTATCCATTGCAGAAGGCACAGAGCGTATCTTTGTTTGATTTTTCTGTTTTCTCTCTCCAGGTCTGGCAGACTGGCATGCTCCTGCTGCTGGCATGTTTCTATGGATTAAAATTAAGGGAGTTTCTGACACACAACAGCTGATCATGGAAAAAGCTTTGCAGAAAGAAGTAGGAAAAATGTCTGCTGATCTTAAAATGTAGTGGGAGGGAAGGGTTAAATAAACTACTATTTGAGTGCAACTCCAACTGTGCATTATTAGGACTGCAAATTTTGAACAGGCATATAGTAACATATTCTAATAACTCTCCTTACTAATGAAATGTCTGCATGGTTAATCTACATCTTTAATATGTTTGTTTAGTTCAGCCTCAAAACAGATACAGAGAGAGCTAGCCTAACTATCCATTGTTTCTATTTTAATAAGAGAAATTAAGTGTAGTTTATTCAATAATTTGTAAAGACAAGTGTTACGCAAAGACATCAGCTTATGAGTCAGAAAGGAACCTAGAGATTTACTTCTCTGATACTTATAAAGCACGAGAATGATAAGATAGAACCTGCCTATAGTCAAATAACTAGGTTCTGTCTTTTTGTTGTGAAATATTTGATTCCAGTTTTTGTAGTCTGCCTTCCCTTTTTGGAAGGAAGGAATGGATTAACCCTCTTTGTGAGACCATTATTCAGCAATGAGCTATTTAATATTTTTTTAAATTAAGAAGAAATTTGTAACTAAATGGCTAATCAATTTCTTTTAGGTATTACTGGTTCCTGGGGGAGCATTTAACATTGATAGCTCAGTTCCTAGTTCTTATGTCAGAGCTTCTTTCTCTCTGTCTTCTCCAGCCCAGATGGATCAGGTGAGTGCAGTATGATTTGCTGTACATTCCTGAAAAGAATATTCCTCATGCAGTAATTGTTGTTTTGCTCCCTTACTTTTTCCCTACACGTTTTAACCAGCTCTCTATATTGTATAGTTATCTCTCTCTTTTCCATTTCCAGTCGGCTTTTGTTTGTTTGTTTGTTTGTTTTAGTAAGTACTGTTTGAGCAGTACTTCTGAAACTCCCTTAACTGTTCCTTGCACATATTCTTATCTAGAAGAATTGTAGTGTGCTGAATCTTTAGTGTCTCTTAAGATGCACCTGCCTTCTTCAATTGTACTTATTCCCATCAGATCTCACTCGCTGATGCAGCTGTCACTGAAGTCAGTGCAAGTGTAGCTACTCATTTAATGTGAATAGGAGCAACCACCTGTCTTATTTCCCAAAGTTTGCCATCCTCAAATCTAATTCCCTTTACTCCACTGTTTTCTGTGTACCGATTCCTTATTATTAAACAAGCTCAAGATGACCAGTATCAGGCTTCCCCATTATTCTCACATTCAGTTTCTCCTGAGTAGTCAGTAGCACATTGGAGATGGTCTCTCCTCTAATTCAGTCTCTCTATACTTCATGATTTTGGAACTAATCTGTGTTATTTAAGAACATCTTGGATATAATGGTTTTATTTGTGATTGAGTACACATCATTGTATAGAGGGAGTGGGGAGCAATTAGCTGCCCAGAGTATAGCGTTCCATTGTTTCAAGTGCCTTGAGAATTTTCCCATGTCTTTGGTCTTACTTTACTTCAGTCATTAAGGTGTGTAGCTGATGTCTAGTTATGCTTCTCCTTTGTTGGTCATCCCTTCATCATTACCTAAAGAATTTCACAATCATATTGTCTCTAGTCAAATTGCATCTTGCTGGCATTGCACATGATATATAACACCTCTCTTCCTCCTTTTCTCTCGTATGAGATTATACCCCTCTGTGTTACTGTTGCAGTTATGAGAATCCTTCTGCTAGGCTTCATTAATGCCCACTAGATTATAGATGCCGTGAGGTGACATAACAGTACTCTTGTTGATTCATATATTTGTCCTTCTGTTTCAGAAGAACTCCATCTTTTCTTCTAATTTTTTATGTTGAAAGAACATGCTAGATCATTTAAGTGGAAGCTCTCCCCACTTTCTTGAACACTTAATGCACTATTAATATCAAATTGAATAGGGAACACGAAGCTTTACAATAAAGTTCTAAGACTTCACACAGCTGGGTTCCCCTGTGGTTAAAATAGTTTCAGAAATTCTACTTAAGATTTAGTATATTGCCTGCTTATCTAATGCTGGGATGTGAACATTAACCATCTTGCTTTCATTGTAGGCTTTTCAGAGGCTGGCTGAGCTTATAAAAGAAGCTGTATGAAGAGAGCAAATGAAAATCATCTAGCAAATTAAAAGTCCCCTTCAAAAAATCTGCACCTTTATTAAAAGAGGATTTCATAATGACATTTAAGGAGCAAGCCACAATACAGTGTATATTTCCTTGGTTGGTATGAATGCTTTGGGTATTTAAAACATGAATAGAAGATCGCCAAAAGACCTCAGAACATGCCTTTTGATAGGGAGTGCAGAAAGCTATAGTTTAATTAGAAATTATCTCGTTCAACCTATTAACTCCTTTTTATGACAGGCAATATCATATAAAAAGACTATTATTCCAAATTGCAATGCAGCTATAGTATATGGTTATGTGCACAGTAGCAATAGTGTAGTTGAAGAGATAATTCCATTCTAAACCACTCTTCATTTTCCCATAACGTCCTCAAAATTGTGCTGAATCTTCTCAGACCAGAACTTTTCCAAAAGTGAATTTTAAAAGAAGGTTTGAACAAATTCTATTCAGTCATTTTGAATTATTGGCGGAGGGAATAGCTTTTCTACTTAGCAAATAAATCAACTTTTGAAATAACTCAGGGATGAACTACATAACTTTTGACTTGACATGAGACATGTGTGACAACTGCAGTCCTTGCTAAATTTGGCTGGGAAAGGACTTAATTTTTAAAAATGGTATACTTGGTATGTACAGTAAATTATCTTCTTACTTCAACTACACTACTGCTATTGTGCACATAACCATATACTATACATATGCTATTTTTAGGTGCACATTTCAAACTGTGGAAAAACTGTATTGATCAGAAAGTGTTTCACTCAGAATCCTCTTAACCCAACCCTTCCTGAACCCTAAAATCATATTGCACCAGCAAATTAACTAATGTTTGGTCAGAGTAAATTGACTTAGGCACTTTTGAAAACTTAAACCTGAGCAAATGCAATTAGACTCTGGTTACAAATAAAAGGAAATTAGTTTGCACTCTTTGCCATGGGACAGTTTAATTTGATCTGAATCACTTGAGCAATGTTTTTGCTGACATAAGTGGTAGTGTAGACATGGCTTTAGACCAGGGGTGGGCAAACATCTAGGTGGGGAAATTGTATGCAGGGTCGGGGCAAGGGGCGGGGGTGTGGGAGGGGGTGCGGTGTGCAGGAAGGGGCTCAGGGCAAGGGATTGGGGCAGAGGGGTGCGGGGTGTATGAGGAGGCTCTGGGAAGGGGTTTGGGGTGCAGGAGGGGGCTCAGGGCAGGGGTGCAGGAGGGGTGCAGACTGTGTGAGGGGGCTCACGGTGCGGCAGGGGGCTCAGGGCAGGGAGTTGGGGGGTGGGGTGCAGGTGGGGTTCGGGCTCCGGCCCGGTGCTGCTTACCTAAAGCGGCTCCGGGGTGGCAGCAGCGCGCATCAGGGCCAGGGCAGGCTTCCTGCATGCCTGCCCTGGCCCCACGCCGCACTGCTCCAGGAAGCGCTGCGGCCCCTGGGGGAGGGGGGACGGAGGGCTCCACGTGCTCTTCCCTTGCCATGCCTCCAGGTACCTCCCCCGAAGCTCCCATTGGCTGCAGTTCCCAGTTCCCGGCCAATGGGAGCTGCGGGGGGCAGTGCCTGGACGCAAGGGCAACGCACGGAGCCCTCTGCCCCCACCCCACCCCAGGGCCACAGGGAAGTGGTGCCGGCCGCTTCTGAGAGCGGCGCAGGGCCCGCGGTGCCACGGGGGGTAATCCCGGGGGCTGGATCCAAAGCCCTGAGGGGCCGGATCCAGCCCGCGGGCTGCAGTTTAGCCACCCTTGCTTTAGACTGTAAGCTCTTTGGGGCAGGAGCTGTCATTCACTACATGTTTTAATTGTGCCTACTGCAATGCGGCCCAACCTGGTTGTGCCCTTTAGGTGCTACTACAATATAAATATTTATTATTAATAATAGAGTGAAATGTGAGGTTTTTACTCTATTTCTTTTCTCAACCACATATATTAAGGTGAAAGGCTATTCTTAGAACATTATGAAATGAGTTTTTTGTTAGCTTCCAAAGGGCAAATATTTGAAATCTCAAAGCACACATGAAATTTGGAAAACATAGTATATGGTGGAATGAGATGACATACCTAGTTAATTTAAATAAATGAGTTTTATTTAACAAGGAAATAAACGTCAATGACATTTTAAACTGATTTTTCTGGATGAATTGCTTCCTTTTTTAAACAGAATTAGAGTAAAAATGTTTGACCAAAAGTGCCAAGTATTAGTCAATTTTTTATCAGCAAGATTTTGCAGAGAAGTAAGGCACATATGTATTCATTTTGCAGAATGCAAGCAAAATGCAGTTCCATTTGCTGCCTGCCTGACTATTTTTTTTTAATAATAGTCAATTTAATATGAAGAGAATTTTTGTTTTCTGACTGTGATGAAACATCTAAAATGATGCTAACATCCTGACGAATGCAAAGCTGCTTGAATGAACAATGACAATCAGGTTATCTGTGTGCTTATTGTCTCACTGAGCTTCTCAAAGCATGAGTCCTCATCTTCTGGGATAGAACATTCAAGAGAATTAACGGTTCCTGGATGAAATCAGCTGGAGACGGGGGTAAAATATCAAGCAACAGCTACAGGCAGATGAACTAATAAGGCAAATGGGATTTGGATATGAGTCGGGATATCGTTTCTCAGTATTTAAATAGCTGGGGAGTTTTAAAGAAAAAAATCACTACTCTGCAGCGCTGGATTTCAACAGTTGGAGGAATTTAGCACACCCCAGTTGGTGGGGGAGCTCTGTTTCCCCATCCCCCACCTTGGCCCCACCTTTGCTTGGGATAGCAGTGGCAAGCCCCTCCAGCAGCACCACAATGGGTCCCTCCACAGCAACTGATCTGCACTGGTGGTAGTGTAAGGTCCTCTTGCTGGATGCTAGCCGTAGGCTCAGGCAGATATCATTCCATTGGTTACACTCAGGTTACGATTTCAGTTTCAGGTTAACTTATTTTCTAAAGACAGCTTAGACTCTAGCCTCATATTGTGACACCAGGAGCTCAGGCCCTATGCCCAGGCCTGCATTGTTTGTGCCTTAATCCAGCCCTGCTGCCTTTTCCAGTTATACAGGTTTCATTTGCATGGTATCTCTGCTGACGTATAACTAGTTCTCCAATTGTCTTCAACAGGAAAAAGAATTAAAACTGTACAAAAAACCCCCATGTATTTCTGATGTAAAAGGACCTTTTAAAAATGCTTTAAAACCTTCACTGGATCCACATAAAAACTTTATACTGGAATTGCTATATTTTGTAAGGAATGCGATGCTGCCTCACATTGCAATGGGCCAACACATATAATAACCCTTTCCAAATCCCTGGCACAGAGGCAGTTCAACTCACTAAACAAGTCTTCTCAACAAGAACCAGGACACCCCCCAATGATTTTCTGGCTGCAATAAGAGAAAATTAAAAACTTATTTTTTGCACGCAGCCAATAAATCTTATAGTAGCCTAACTTTTACAGGAAAGATGCTTTGGGCAAGTTGCCTATGACTCAGAAAGGAAAAAATACAAAATTTTCCTCATTCTCTAATCCTATTTGTCTGATGCCTAAATTGCTAGCCTCTCTGAGCCTGAAAGAATCAAAGCCCCATTGGGTCCTTGATTTTGAGTTATCTGTTCTGGCCCTACTGTGTGACCTATGGGATCAACTGCAACAACAAAGGCCAAATAGTGAGTTTTGAATACTCACAGCAAACTATTTAATCAACTATCTTGGGATTTAAAAATAAAAGTTTGTTTTTTTTAAATGAAGTAAATTAGAATACCAAATACATTTAAGGAACTGGTGATCAGCGTTTAGCCATTCTGCAAGCAGATAAAGAGACTAAATTTGCCGAATAAATTATTTACACAACTCTATTAATATCCATTAAGCATAATACATTCCATATAGGCATTGATTTTTTTCACAAATACTCTCCTGTTCCTTGGCTCCACCATTAGCTAGCCGACCATTCCATCCCTCTTAAGTTAATAGCTCCTTGATTTTAAAACCAGAATCCCACCAGCATACAGTTAAGATTAATGCATAAATCATTTATTGTGTAAAAACACTGTGCTGATAAAGTTTGAGACCACAAAGGAGATTAGGGGACAGTGTGTGTGTTTAAAGGTACAGTATGATTGTCCTCTAATAAACTGTGAGGCAAAAGGTGGGTGGGGAAGATTGTGCTGGATAATTATGGTGTGTTAGATAATTCCTGATCATCATCCCAATGAGTTTCTCCTGAAGACTCATTTAGTTTTGTCTTTTTTCCTTGGGTAAATTCTAGTCTGTTTTATTTCAAAACTATTCTAAAAATTAACTTTAATACTCGTTCATCTCATCTATGTGGTTTAAAAGTTTTCATATGTAATTTTCTACATATATAGTAGCTGCAGATATCTTCAGTTACACCTTTAAAATGTGGATACAAATAAACCAGAATACATATTAAGAGCACTGATTTATCTGACTTTGAACTACTTGACTTTGTTTCCTAACTTGTTTTGTTTTCTGTTTCTGATTGAACTGTTTTTGAACAGCCCACTGGAGGAAGTATTTCAGGAGAGGATGGAGTTATTCTTGTGTATGGTTTGGGATGTTTCAGTTCATATCATTCTGGATGAAAAGTGCTCTGTAAATGTTAGTTAATATTGCTACTATTTTGTAGTTATTCTAAAATTACTACTTGGAACGCTAAGACCTCCTGTTTCCCATGATGGCTAGTCCAAAGTTCGTATATTTTCTATATGAAGATGGCTAAAGGTCTTATAGATGCTACTTCTAAAGAGTATTCCTGAACTGCACTGACATGATTAGTGATTAAAGATTTGTTGCTTATTGTGCAATGTTTGGACATTATTTCTTTTTCAAATCTTATACACTTGTACAGAACCAGACCTGCATTAATATTACATATTAACAGGCTCTGTTATGGTCTGGGAAATTTTAACTTTAAACAGCTGTTTAGTATCTTAGCTTATAAACAACTTTGGACTATAAATTTGGGTACATATGGAAAAAAAGAAATGATCTTTGACCTCAGGTTTGGCAAAGGGATTTCTTCCACCTTCCTTGAAAACTTCTGGTACTGGGCACTGACAGAGGTGGGATACTGGACTACATGGAGCATGGTCTGATTCAGTCTAGTAGTTCCTATGTATATTCCGGAAGAGTTTCGTATTCCATAACTTCTGAGTTTACTGGTTAGACCATAGATCCTCCTGGTAATGCCCAGAATGCTTCAGTGGAAGGCAAAAATGTCACAATAACTAAAAATAATACATCTAGGGAAAATTTTTCAAACCACCTAAGTGAGTTAGTTGGCTAACTCCCATTTTCCAAAATGACTTGGGCAGGTAGGGCCATATTTTCAAAGATATTGAGGTACCTAAAGCTGAAAGTAGGCACCTAATGGGATTTTCAAAAGCACATAAATCCCACCAGTTACCTGTCTGCATCCTTTTGTGCCTCATTGTCTTTGAAAATCTGGCCCTAAGTGCTTAAGTCATTTTGGAAAATGGGATTTAGCCACCTAACTCACTTAGGTGGTTTGAAATTATTTCCCTAGTTGTATTATACATTTTTTGTTATTGTCACATTTTTTGCTTTCTGCCGAGACATTCTGGACCCTACAGGCTCTTAGGATCCCATGTCTCATTGAAAGGTCAATGGTGCCTTAGGATCCTAAGTGCCTAAGTTAATTTTGAAAATGGGACTTGGGCTCCTAAGTCACATGGGTGCTTTTAAAAATTGTATCCCTTGTGCATATGGACACTAAGGAAAAAGATGCCCAACTTCTGCAGGAAAGTGAAGTGTTTTCTGTTTCTCTTCTTTAGCCCACTGCATTATTTTAAAGAAAGAATCTGATTACCTATTTGCTGAATCAACATGAATTTCCGCCAGTTGAGCTTTATAAAAAGTACATGAAGAATACCTGGTCCAATCAGGCTTCTTAGTGAGTATGCAATGTCCTCCATTACCTAATATCCTACACATGGTGTCACCTGCTCCTCTGTGTGCGGCAGGTACAACCTAGCTGGATGCTGAAAAAGTTCCTGCAGTGGACCTGGTGGCAGATGCT